CAGGGCCAGGGCAGCACCGTGACCAGGGAGCCGGCGGCCGAGGCAGATGGCAGAGGCTCAAGTGCAGGGGATGAGGAGCCGGAGCAGCTTGGACTGACGTGAGCAGCACCCTGCGCGTGCCCAGCAACCCCCCCCTGCAGCTGCTGGACTATCTGTGGTCCCACGGTGGCCAGCACGTGGGTAACGGGCTGGGAGGTTTGGTGATGGAAGGCTGGGATGCCGCTTGGCTGCCCCAGCTCGACCCTGCTCTGCCTCAGTTTCCCCCGTGCTTTGCGGGTCACCCGTGCCCTCCCCGGGCTTGTTGCATTTAGGTTTGCAAAAGGGCCAGTGAGGTTTGGGGTTGAGTTGAATACCCTCCTCAGCCCCAGCTGGGGGGGAGGTGGGATTTGCTCTCCCCCCCAGATGACGAGTGTGGCCGGTCACCTTCTCCCCAGGTCCAAGGGGTCCCCGGCGGAGCTGTGGCGGCCGTGGCTCTTCCTTCCGCAGCACTACTGGGTTTTCTTGTGGCTGCTTCTCCTGAGCATCGCCTTCCTCCTCCTCGTCCGCGTCCTGGAGCTGCAGCGACTGCAGCCTGCGCCATCGCCCAAAGCCTAGCCGGAGCGGGGGGGGAAGGCGGCCAGGAGACACCCGCTCTCCATTGCTGCTCCTTCCCCGCACCGTAAAACACCAAAACCCTAGAATAATAAAATTGGAGAAAAAATCAGGGATGTTTAGTGCTGGAGCGGGGGGGACACACATTCTGTGCTGGGATCTGAGGTTTGGTTGGAGCCAGCTTGTAAGCATGAAGGGCTCGGGGAGCTGCAGCAGCCTTCATCGATGCTATGAGATTGCCTGTTCTCTTGGCACACCGAAGGATGCAGGGACGTCCCTCAGCCGGGGACAGAGACCAGGCTGCCAGCGGATTTGCATTAGACCCGTGTCCCACTGTGCTGCACCCTCCACCACAGCCCGTCCCCCGTCCCCGCTGCCTGCGGAGCTGTAATTAATATCTAACGCTCATTTGCTGCTGCCCAGGGGACAAAGCTCCGTCTGGAAGGAGCGGGTCAGTGTTCAGACTTTTCCCATCGCACCACGAAGAGCTCACAAACAGAGGGAGCTGTTTCCGACCGCTCCGGTATCTGGGAAAATTGCCTGGTTTGACGCGTCCGCCCTGTTTCCGCGTCCGCCCCGGCCTCTCGCAGCCCCAAAACGTGGGTGGGCTCCGCTGTACCCACCCCCAGCGGCTTTGTGGGGGGCTGGAGGGCTCGAAACACCCTGGCTGAGCTGCAGGGGGGACCGGGGGTGTGTGTGTGTTTCTGCACCCAGGACCCCCAGGAAAAGGCCCGAGGAGGCTGTGGGGAGGAGGGATGGAGGTGCTGGGCTGGCTGTCCCTGCTCGCCGCAGCCACCAGCAGTGCCACAGGTGACTCACGGGTGACCGACGTAACCCCAGCCCCGTATGCCAGCTTGCCCCGTGTCCTTGAGTCACCACCCCCAGCCTTGTGGCAGGCGGTCCCCGTGCGTCACCGGCCCTCAAGCCCCTTCGCTGTGACACTCGCCCCGGCACGTGGCAAGCGGCCAGCAGCACCCCGAGGACGCCGCCACCAGAAAACCCCAAAAAACACCCGGCCAGGAGTGATCTTCGGTGACCCCGACGGCGCCATCCTCTGCCCTAAGGTACCTTCACCCCACTGGGGCCATTCCCACCCGGGGGGACGCAAGTGGAAACATCATCCCAAAAGTTTCCACGAGGGCTGTGGGGGTCTGGGACACTGGTGGGGGTCTGGGGCTGGCACTGAGCGGGTCCCCCCCGCCTGCATCCCCCCCCCCTGGCCTCTATTTCTGGCTG